TCAAAAGGTTTGTTTGTTTGATGAATGATGAATATGAAGTGGCAAATATAGATAGTTTTTCGAAGATTTTAAATATTCTTAATCAGATTAAAAATATAAAGTTTGATATGCGTCAACTTTGTAATCTTGAGTTTGCTTCACTCTTGGTATATTGGTGGGGTTTTCCACTGGTTCTAGCTTTCGGATCAACATTTTGAACAATCTTTCTCCAAGGACCACCACGACTTACTAGAGCTCTAACTCTCTGAGTTGCTCTCCTCTTCACATTTAGCAAGGGACTTAGCTGTTCAATGGTAAAAATGGTTGCAGTAACATCACAAAAGAAACTCCTTTAAACTCAACAAAAGCAAACCATGGCACATGGAGCTTACTGATGAAACCACGGCAAGCATGCATGTCTTTCAAACTCAAAGATACGACTCATTCCCTACAAATTCAAAAATGAGGAAACTTCAATAATAGTACACATGATAAAGATTCAAAATTTCACATATATATATATTTTGTTTAGCTTTCACCAGTACCACAAAGGAAAACAAAACAACCTGTTTGTTGGTCAGATTGAGCCAAGGAGGTTGAATTGATTCTTCTTTGGTATATTTTTGACCTGAGAAATTAAACCATTGGAGAAATCGAAGAAAATGATCATTGCATTATAGTATCAGTGATCATCATAAGGAAATCTTTAGGCAAACACTTTAAGAAGAATTACATACTTTTGATGTGAGTCTGCAGTTAAAGCTTTGAATCTGGGACGAAGAGCAGCATCACTTCCCTCTGTCGCAATTATTTGAAAGATGACCACAAAGGAAACTATTCACAAGTTTGTTCAAGAGAGAAATAAGTCCAAAAGAGAAAACATGTATATGTTCTTACTATTCGTAGGACACCAGGAGTTCCAGGATCCTTGTATTTGACTCGCTTCTCCAATTGCGAACCGGCCATATACAGGAGATTCTTCACCAAAACGCTGTAAAATCGATCGACTGATCTCGCGATGCTTATCGGCAATGTAGCGAAAACTGGAATCTAGCACAATCAAAGAACAAGTGTCTATGAGTCTCTAGCACACACATCCGACACATTTAATCCCCATCGTCTCAACCTATTCCTTGTGAATAATGCTAATAACTCATTTGTGAATTTTCTCTTTTATAGTTTTCATATCTTGTCTACGATGTCAATATATCATGTATGATTGGAAGTCAAATTACGCAAGAGTTAGTGAATATGATAGAGAACCAATCAACCAACCGAATTGTCCTTTTTCTTTCTTATTTAAATTTTGATATCTTCAACTTTCTCCATAGTTTTTAGGGAATTTGCATTGGACATACACGAAAACCTGCTATTTAGGTTAATGACCAAACACTAATTCAAATTTAATTTATCCTATTATATCCCTCATTCACGATAATAGTCTGTCTTTGGTTATGTATTTGACAAATTCTTTGTCTCCCTTTCACATGACTTCGACTTTAAGAATTTTATAGTCTGTTTCGAGGATATGGTAGTCCCTCGGCTTAGCTTCCACAGTTTTTACTACTCCGACTTGTGTAGCTCTATCGAGTGTTTTATCAACACTCATGTATGTCAATTCATGAAATTTAAAATTGGTGTTTAAGTATAACTTTTCTGATGAAGAGAAATCTTACGATAGTGCTTAGCACTAGCTCAAGACCGTAATGCCCGAGAAACTCGAAATAAACAAAAGACACTCTAAGTATGATGAAGAGATATGGAAGAATTCTTAGAGAAAGTTAAAAAACTTATGAATTTGGAACACTCTTTTTTATAATTTTTTATTATTACTTGTTCAATTTTCTTGTTGTTCTTGTATATTACAAATGAAAATGGGTGTGGAGGTATTTATAGGCACCCCAAAGTACCTTACAAAGCTTCTAAATAATTCTACTATAACCTTCTTACTTCCTAGATAAGTTTCTAGATTTTTCTAGATTATGTTGTTGGTGATTGGTTGGGCTGTAAAAATAAACTACAGCCTAATTTTTCTTCTACAGCCTTAAAAGACACCAATCATGCTTTATTTTAATTTTTAAAGTTATAGTCCAAAAAATAAAAAATGGTTGTAAAAACTATATTTTCTACAACCTCATTTTTTAAGCCGTAAAAAAAAACGTTGGGCTGTAGAC